CCAATTTATCCACATCCTTCTTGTAGTGTGGGGCCCAAAACTGGACACAGTACTCCAGATGAGGCCTCACCAATGTCGAATAGAGGGGAACGATCACGTCCCTCGATCTGCTCGCTATGCCCCTACTTATACACCCCAAAATGCCATTGGCCTTCTTGGCAACAAGGGCACACTGCTGACTCATATCCAGCTTCTCGTCCACTGTCACCCGTAGGTCCTTTTCCACAGAACTGCTGCCTAGCCATTCGGTCCCTAGTCTGTAGCTGTGCATTGGGTTCTTCCGTCCTAAGTGCAGGACCCTGCACTTATCCTTATTGAACCTCATCAGATTTCTTTTGGCCCAATCCTTCAATTTGTCTAGGTCCTTCTGTATCCTATCCCTCCCCTCCAGCATATCTACCACTCCTCCCAGTTTAGTATCATCGGCAAATTTGCTGAGAGTGCAATCCACACCATCCTCCAGATCATTTATGAAGATATTGAACAAAACTGGCCCCAGGACCGACCCTTGGGGCACTCCACTTGATACCGGCTGCCAACTAGACATGGAGCCATTGATCACTACCCGTTGAGCCCCACAGTCTAGCCAGCTTTCTTCCCACCTTATAGTGCATTCATCCAGCCCATACTTCCTTAACTTGCTGACAAGAATACTGTGGGAGACCATGTCAAAAGCTTTGCTAAAGTCAAGAAACAATACATCCACTGCTTTCCCTTCATCCACAGAACCAGTAATCTCATCATAAAAGGCGATTAGATTAGTCAGGCATGACCTTCCCTTGGTGAATCCATGCTGGCTGTTCCTGATCACTTTCCTCTCATGCAAGTGCTTCAGGATTGATTCTTTGAGGACCTGCTCCATGATTTTTCCAGGGACTGAGGTGAGGCTGACTGGCCTGTAGTTCCCAGGATCCTCCTTCTTCCCTTTTTTAAAGATTGGCACTACATTAGCCTTTTTCCAGTCATCCGGGACTTCCCCGGTTCGCCACGAGTTTTCAAAGATAATGGCCAGTGGCTCTGCAATCACAGCCGCCAATTCCTTCAGCACTCTCGGATGCAACTCGTCCGGCCCCATGGACTTATGCACGTCCAGCTTTTCTAAATAGTCCCTAACCACCTCTATCTTCACAGAGGGCTGACCATCTTTTCCCCATTTTGTGATGCCCAGCGCAGCAGTCTGGGAGCTGACCTTGTTAGTGAAAACAGAGGCAAAAAAAGCATTGAGTACATTAGCTTTTTCCACATCCTCTGTCACTAGGTTGCCTCCCTCATTCAGTAAGGGGCCCACACTTTCCTTGGCTTTCTTCTTGTTGCCAACATACCTGAAGAAACCCTTCTTGTTACTCTTAACATCTCTTGCTAGCTGCAGCTCCAGGTGCGATTTGGCCCTCCTGATATCATTCCTACATGCCCGAGCAATATTTTCCTGACTGTCTGGGACAAACAAGACACATGAGATGTGGTTTAACTAGGCTGCAACTTTATTAATTTAACTCATCTGGGAGCTATCCAGTAATATATTGCCCAGTGCAGATCATCCTTCCCTCCATAATCTGTTCCACCTGGTGGAGGACTGCTGTCAGTCCCCATTTCCCATCACCTCTCCACATCTGGTCCTAACACATTGCTGGGACATATCTGTCCTCCAGGGGCTGGGAAAAAGAGTTCTCCTCCCTGTACCACACAGTAGGAACCCCAGCCCTGTTCCCCAGCTGCTGCTTCTAACTCCACTTCAGATTCCAGTTTAGCAGACCCCCTGTCGAACAAGTATCTGCACTGGACACCTGTTAAGTTGCAACAACTTGAACTTCACCCTTGCCTCTAACCAGCCCACTAGGTTCCTGGGCTGCTATGGGAAAGGCAAAAATAACTCTGGCCAGTCTGGCAATGAGGGGAAAAGTCCTTGTCAGTCACAGAAAAGGCAATTAGCACAATATCCAAACCAGACTCAAAAAACCCTGGTCCTAACCTCAGAGTGGGAGCTGTTTTTCTGGTCATGTGATGGAGCCCCAACCAGGGGAAGAGACCTTATATGCCTTCTTCGTGGGTGTATAGGACCATATGGGCTTTCACTGCACCCCCTAGACAAGCCAGTCAGCTCCAAAACCTATGAGGCAGCTGAGCACCCATTAGAAGGCTGAGGGGTGACCTTTCAAGAAGCCAGACAGCCCTCTTTCCCTTGCCTTTCCAGACAAAGCCCCCCATCTCTGAGGCTGCTGGGATGCATTGATGACTTTGGACTTAAAATTTATTATGTTGATTTTTTTTTTTTTAAAGTTCTCTGATTCCAGAAATCCTGCTGCTATAAACTGAGCCACAGTAGAGGTAAAACACCTCTTTTTATTGTCCCCTAATTTTATGAAAGAACTGAATGTTCATCAGTATACTTGCTAATTGTCACAAACCTTATTTTACTACTAGATTTGCCCCTTTTTGATTTTGACTTGGATATTTTTTACTTTATAATTTAGATTAATAGTATTACAGAACTAGGATGAATTGCCACAGTTTCACTATGAGGAACACTTTAAAGTAATTTCATATTTTCTTTGTCATTAAAGTGCTATGACTTATTTTTCATATCCAGGAAAGTGAAAACACTGCGGCTACCCTGTCTAGGGCATTTCAGGTCTTTAACTCTCCCTTACAGACAATTAAGTAAAATATAAATACTTTATAGATGTAATAACTAACTTATAAATTATCTCCTTTGTCTACATGCTTTGACTTGACGGGAATGTGTCAAGAAAGCAGTTGCTTTCTCATGGGGTTCAGCTGTTGTAGCGTGTGTTGCTATTTTATTTCATCGGCAAAGTATAAGAAGGAGTTGTTAACTACAGGTAACATTGCGCCTGATACAAATCCCATGGAAGTCTGATCAGGCCCCATGTTACCTGTATTCCTTCTCCTGCTTTGCAGGTGAAGTAAAGCATATGGGAGTCTGTTGACATCCTTAGGCGTTGATTGGACCTTTTAACATTAGTATGATTCAGTGTGTCCTGTTATGTGCTTGTTCTTTTTGAAAATATTTACATTAAAGTTTGAAAAATACCTTTCTATAAAAATTGTTAGGCTGTAACACTGGAAAACAGATTCTGTATGAAGTAAGACTTTTTTCTTATTCTGAAACTACTGGAAAAACTTGCATAACAAGTATGTTTATACCTCAAATATGAAAAATACTAGAAAATCTGTTTATTCCTTCCACTGCTAATCAGCTAAAATATTACTTACAACTTCTCGAGTATACATTTGACAATCTTCACATGAAAGAACTTGTTGCTTTTTTGATTAAATAAGATAAAGCAACTTTAGAGAGTAACACTGTAAATTCTCTAAACATGTTTTAGGCTATTTTGTTACTATTAATATGATGCTATTGTTAACTAGTATCAAAACTTTGATATGTTTTCACAGCTGCAGATTTATTTCAGGAAGTCTGTTTATCCTAGTCCATTCCACCAAACCAGCAAATAAACAAGACAGGACAAAGATTTAAAACTCAAGACAGAGCTGTTAATTTTCATGATAGTTTAATTGCTTGTAAATTGCTCTAAGTATATTATCTTACCAATTTTTTTAAAGTTTTTATTCTTCACTTATTCTCTTAAGTACTCTGTCATGCTTTTGAACACAGTTCAGGAAAGCCTCTCTCTTCAGGTCAATACTTACACACACTAAGTCCCATTGAAATCAGGGGAATTTAAACACATGCTTAAGTGCTCTTCTGAATCAAGGCCATAATCCTTACTTGGTCTAACTCTCATTGTAGTCACTGGGATTTGCTCCAATAGGGACCACAGAACAGGTGCACTCAGGAGTATATTTTTCTTATTAATATGCATGTAGAACTTCTCCTGCCACCTCTTACAGAGATGTATCCCCAATGATGGAAAAATATGCCCTTTTTTTTTTACTTGAAGATAAATTTAACATTATCATCTTAAAACTTAATGTTAAGGAAAGACTGTGTTTGAAGGAAACATTGTAACAGTTGTTTGTCTAACTTTGAACATGTCTAGAAGACAGAGATATAAATATGTTAAAAACCCAGATAGAGTATATTTTAATTGTTGTAAAAATTAGTTTTATTTAAGACACTTCTAAATTAGGGGTTTGATGCCTAGAAGTACAAAATGTCTTTTCAGGTGATCAGCAGTAATACTGTAAAGTAAATTTTTTTGAAGTTGTTAAATGTGTGTTCTAGCCATTTAGTAAATAGAAAAATGTGTGCCTCTACGGTTTTTTGGATAGATAATAAGAATGATGTAATGTTTGTAATAGAAGTGGTAACTGTTTAATCTACCAGCCACTGCTATGTGGAGTGAAAAATTATGATATTCCTAACATAGGATGCTCTACATTAATGTTTTTTGAATGGTTTAAATATTATTTCTTTAATAACATTCCGTGGGATGGGTAATGATGCATTTCTGTAGTAATGTCAGCCAAAGGTTTAAACTCAAATATTAGAAACCGTATAAGACAGAGAAGAGACTCTTTTGGCGCCTAAGTAAAAAATTGGATTTTAATGTCTTAATCATAGAAAATGTGTTTTAGTAATTAACAGCCATGTTTACTAGGAAATGACAGTGATTTCTATAAACATTCCCAGCTTTCTTTATGATGTGATCCTCTTGCCCCTTTTAATGCCTCATCATCAATTTATTCTTCGTGACCAGCGGAGAGACATTTCCTTTCAACAAACCCTATGGGTTTAAGTATTCAAATTCTGAACATGCTAATCTGAACCTGTGCTACAATTTAACTCTGCAGAAGCTCAAATCTGAAACCATAGCTTTCATTTTAAAATCCACAATGTTCTAGAATGTTGTTTTGTTTTTAGTATTGAGTGTTGACCAGTTATAGATACAGTTAACCAACGTAGAAAAGAATATTCCTTTCATCAGACTATCAAGCAGACTTTGAATTAATTTATTTTACTTTTAAAATCATTTTAGCAAGTTAGTTAATAAGCTTTAACAAAAAATATCTTTCAGCTTACTGAACACAGAGAGATCCGAAATACCTATGGTCTAGAGTCTCTTTGCCATTGTCCATTATATGAAGAAGCTATGCACTTAGCAGAAGAGGGCAAAATTCATTCCAGAATATTAAGGTATTGATTTATATTTACTAATTAATTTCCAAGAAAAGCCAAGGAATAAAGATAAATACTCTACTTAATACTACATTTAATCTCCTAACCCCAGAGTAATGGGTGCTATTTCTAAATAAATCCTAGTCAAATTGTACTGTGCTTTGGTTTTTTAAATATAGTTTACAACTTTTTTCCATTTTATGTAGGACTGAAATGTTGGAGTGTCTAGGAGATAGTGACTTTCTTGCTAAACTTCACTGTATTCGGCAGGCTTTTCAGGTAAATACTTAGTTATCAGTGTGGTGCATACACTCTCTCTCACACATTCTCTTTCTTCTACAATATGCAGAGCAGAGTTAGGTCAAAGCTAAGAGGTTTTTGTCTAGCCCTACTTCTTCAGTGACCTATTTTTAGTGTAATAGTTATATATTGTAATTATTGAATGCTGTTTGAGAGCAGCATATTTTTGTTTAATATTCAGCTCACTGAAGGAGTGGCTTTTTTATGTTTTGAGAACTATGAACTTTTGAGAGTTTTTTCATTAATTTTAAAGCGTTTTGAGTAACATTTTATCTACCTAAGCATGTTGTTGCATTCAGGTGCCTACAATTTAAAGGACATGCTTAAGTACCTTTCTGAATCAGGGACAATATGTTAAGACAAAATGAATGGCCTCTTTGATAATGATGTGCATCACTGGATGGGAGACCTATCTTTTTGAGTATCCTTGGAACCTTTGCTTCCTGGATTGGTTAGAAGTATTGTACTTGCATACTGTATTAATATCAAGCATCTCTTAGTTTGATTTGACTAAAGAAACATAGCCTCATTTAATGCAATTCCCTTCATAAATAAATTGTGTACTTATAGGTCTGTATTGCCTGGAAATTTTTCTAGGTAATTCTTTCAGAAACAGCTAACAGACTATTTCTTGCTGAGAGTGGAAGAAAAATTTTGTCGGCTTTAATTGTGAGAGCTCGAAAGGTAAATTCCTTTTTTGTTGTTACTTTAGTGTATTCATTGTAACCAGAGATCAAAGTTCATTTGTCTGGTCTTAGAGTTGACCATGATAAATTCTCTAGGCACATTAAAAAAAAAACAAACAAAAAAAACCCCCAAAACACTTGCCTTTTAGGAGTTTAGAACTAAAACAAGTCGTCCTACTAGGAAATATGACACTTAACTGGCTGTATTTCACAGAATCCAAAGAAATTTGAAGAAGTCTTTGATGAAATGATACATTTTTTAGAAAAAACAGACCACTGGGATAATACTGAAATGGAACTTGCTGCCAGGGGGGGTAAGTTAGGATTTCTGTAGTGCTTTTTTCCTCATTAAACTTGATTATACAACCTGTTTCCCCTCTCAAAATTGATATTTATTAATCATAAGTATGAGAAATCCAGCTGCTTTTTTATACTTCAGATGATTTAGAGAAATGTGCTTCCACTTCTTTTTTTAAAACCTCTGTACCGCTGAGTTGCAATGTCAGGTTCTTTTCCATTAGTGAAATGCTTTTTAGTGTTACCTAAATAACTTAAAATGATAAATCTTCCTGATCTATATATAGAGTATGGAATACTGGCTTATGCTCTGTTCCAGTATTGAAAGAGAAGTTAAGTTATTTTGATCTTATTCTAACTGAATGCAGGTGAAAAATCTAAATTTTTACGACATTGTTCTGGATTTTATATTAATGGATTCCTTTGAAGATTTAGAGAATCCACCCACATCTATACAGAATGTAGTAAACAACCGTTGGCTAAATTCCTCCTTTAAAGAAACTGTAAGTGGTTTTTAAAATTCCTTATACGATGATTCTTATAGATTATTGTAACTGATAGGAGACATGATAAAATTACATTAGTTTCAACATTCCTTTCTAAAATTTTTAAATAAGTATACTATTGGGAATAGATACCTGTCGTATCCTTAAAGATTAGGATACCAGCATCTGTAGCAAGTGAACTCATCCTTTTTATCCAGGGGCTACGAACTGTGCAAGTAAACACAATGGGTGGCTTCAACTCTGATCTGGGGAGACCTTTCTCTCTGTCAGAGGTAATTCCATTTCCAACTATAGCTCAGTCCTAAAATATTCCTGAGCAAAAACTACTACACTTGTCAGTCTTGCAAAATCTTAATTTTTAAAATTTATTAGACTTACTTGCCAGCCGTTTGCCATGATGCTTGATTATAATGGAAAGAACTTATACTCACTTGGCAAAAAGAAATATTTGCCCTGGATGTGTAGAATTTTGCAAGGCTGGTGTGTATGTTAACCACATTTTGAAATAAGATATACTGATTTATGGGGGAAATCTATTCGTTCATATCCCAGAATTGTACTGGTCAGGTATGGAAAGTAGCAAGCATTGTAAAATATACAAAGACTCAGATATTCATAACATTTTCAGAAACTTATTTTAGGTTTTTTTCATAGGTGCATCAGCATGTTTTGCTTGCTAGAAAATGTTCATAATAATAACTGAGCTTATCCATGCATGTTTGAAGGAAGGGATTGTGGTGTGGCCAGTTGTTCATAGGTGAGAGATGTTGCTGTCATTGCATCTATTTAGAACTATAAACTGCTGGTTTTCCTTTTCCTTTTTTATTTTTTACCCTTCAATTGAAATATTTCTTCTACAGAAAAAAGGTAAGGCACATATTTTTTGTAGCATATGTGGAAAGTTGTGTTTTGTGAGTAACAAGTTTCCTCGTGGTATTGAAGTAGCATCACATTCCATCAGAATGCTGTTATGTGCTGTGGGGGGAGGGGAGCCTCGATTTGCCATCAATATGTTATATTGCTCAGTTCCTTATTTGGACAAAACTCCATAGCTGTATGCAAAACTATTTCAAGTATGTTCTTTCTTAAAGTGAAAAAGGCCATTACTGTGTATTCATATGCTTCCTTTTAAAATCTGAGATAGTTATGGTTTTGGAACACACACATTTTGGCACACAGCATACTGTGTGTCTGCGAGGTTGAATTGAAGTGTTGCTAATGTTAAATTGTGAAAAACAGTTAGGAGACTTAGTAATTCAAATACAATTTGGCACCAATGCAAAATGAGACAGAAATTTCTGGAAAATACACAATTTCATTTTTTAAAATTTAAACATAAGAAATATGAACTGATAGTAAAATGAGCTATTCACAACAGATAACATTTTATGTTTGAACTTATGCTATCACAGCATTAAAATAAAGGAAATAACTGGTCATCAAATGCAAGATCTTATAGTCTACTGTTTTTTAAATCGTTTTCTTGTGTAGAAGTTACATAAATAATTTCTTCTTATATTTAGGCTGTGGCTTCAAGCTGCTGGTCAGTACTGAAGCAAAAAAGGCAGCAAATGAAGGTAAATTGTCCTGAGATCTAATCTGAAGCCTGTTTAATTTTATAATTCAGAGATTCTGATCAAACTTGAGTGACCAACTCCTAGAATACTAGAAGTTTGAAGTCATGCTATGTGCCATCAAAGAAGTAAATTACAAAGTCCTGCTCCTGCAGACACTTAAAAGTGTACATGTGTAAAGTCTACCATGTCAATTAATGTGGTTTCATAGAGAGTAAGATGACAACTAATTTTTTGCAATGTTCCCTCTAATCTTTTCCATCCATGTGTGGAATGAATTTTGTTATGTTCACCAATATCAAGGTAATGTGTGGATGTGCGCCACCAGTAGAAACAAAAAAAATAGGTATAATATATGTATATTTTTAAAAGTTACCGCAGGGATAATTATTCCAGCCAGGACAGGATAGACATTTTAACTCACTAATCAAATAATTAAATTTAAGCATAAGGGAGAAATAAAAATTAGGAAATTCATAGACCAGTCAGAAAACTAAAATAACAGCACTTGGAAAGAATAAAATTGTAGAGAATATATGTGCACTGCAAGAAATATCAAGAAGTAACAACAATACAAGTTATGTGTTGGGAGGTAAGTGTGAAAGACTGTGTGTGTGTGTATGTGTGTGTGACAGACACACACTATGGGGTGGGAGGGATGTGATGTAAGGAGCTTAAATTGACCTAACTTTGTCAGTGTCCACACTACAGCTTTGCTCCTGCTGATGTGAGTGCCCTACTACACCCACATAATAACTCCACCTGCACGAGAGGCATAGTGCTTATGTCATTTTAGTTAGGGCTACACAGTACACACTGCGGGTTACTTACATTGGCTCCTGGTCTGTCATCCCAGGGAGGGATGCCTTGGCTTCCAGCCAAGAGCCCGGCTGCCCCTGCCTGACTCCCTGCTCGTAGCTGTGCTGCCTCCTGGGCTCCCGGCACAGGGAGCTGAGAGCTGGAGGGGAGGAGAGGGTGGGCCAGCAGGCTCTCGGCAAGGAGCTACGCACAGAACTGAGAGCCTGGGCTCTCAGTCCTCTGCATTGCCCTTCTTAAGTTGGTGGAAGGGCTCCTGGTGAGGAGCGCATCACTGACCGAAGGAGGGTAGTGTAGACATGCACCACTGCAGTAATTACTGCAGTGGCTATAAGTTGACAAAAATATAGGTCTGCTTAAGTTAGTAGTGTAGACATGCCCTGAGGCTTGAAGACACTTGCAAGGGAGGCAGAATGTTTTTGTGGGTAGAGCACAGAATTTGGAGTCAAGATCTGCCTCTAGTCCTGTCTGGATAGAAGTACTTACATGGCCTCCATTACCATATTATCTAAATGCTAAGGGATTCAATGTATTTATTCTCTCAGCATTCCTGTGGGAGGTATGGAGGTACCATTATTCCCAAATTTTACACAAGGGGAGTTCAGCCATAGAGATTAAGTGACTTTCCCAAGGTTATGCAAGAAGTCTGTGGCAGAGTAAAGAATTTAATCTAGTTGTCCTGAATCTCAGCTAGCACTCTGAGTATCCTTTCTCTACCACTGACTTCTGATCTCAGGCAAATCATGTTGGCCATTCTTAACAAATCCATTTTTCAGAAGGTTGCCTTCATTTGTAATGGTACACTTTGTAATAGATCAATTAAAAATCATACGGTCTGAATAGGAGACAGGAATCTTGAGTTATCACACCACTGTATCAATATAGTTCTTTGAATGGTTGCAAACATGTATTCCACTTAGGTGTGCACACCCCCAACACACTGAAGCTGGAAATGTTTGCAGAATTCATAGGGGTGGCGCTTGTGCCCTGTGGCACTAGTCCCTCACCAAATTATTTAAGGGCAGCACCACCCCAACCCCCCTCAGGTTCTTCTCACCACCTGTAGCTACAGTTGGTGCATTCTATGTGGTGGTTTACCTCACTTTTTTTTCTCAGTTTCTCTGGGAATTTATTGTATATAATTCATTGCTAGGTCTTGTAGCTTAGTAGTACCTTTAGATTTAGTTACAGTCGTTAGGATAGATAGTTGCCCTGGGCGATTCCCTCACTGGGGTTTAAATATTGTCTGTCATGTGGGTTAACTATCCACAGTAGTGACCCCCACACTCGTGGAGAGGGGCACATTAAGGAAAGGTGTGCTATATGCTAGTTGTTTAAGAAGAGCACTTAGATGGCGAGAGCCTTGCATCTGAAACTAGCAGCTCTTTGCCAAAGTGGGCCTCCTGCTTTGCTCTATGGGAACCTCTTCAGATTGTCTGGCCCTGTGCTTTCCTTTGGAGCCAACCTGAAATGTGGCTTCTGGCCTAAGATCCGGTGCTCCCTCTAGCAGGAAGAGATCTTTCTTCTTCCTTGGTTCCTCAGTCAGGTTTTTTTCAGGACTTGGAGGGATTTCTCTTAGTTGTTTAAGAGGAGTGCTGACTGGCACCATGAGTTCTTTGGTACTCATGATGGAGCTGGCCCATCTAACCACTCCCCGGTATCATGCCAAGTTCATTTGGACTCTGTACTGTTGACTCTGTTTCTGGCCATGGGGCTTCTGTTGAGTTTGATACCAGTGATGGCAGCATTGGCACTGATCATCTTCATGCCATTGGCATACTAGACGACATCTGACCTGCTCTGCCTTTCCATTCCTGATTTCCCCTATAGTTCAGGTGTTGTCAGTTGCCATGGCTTCTACATCATCATCTTCTGCTGCACCATTGCTGTTGTCTGTTCAGGTCACGTAGGTGTCTCACTCCTTGGTACCACATTTTGCACTGTCCGGGTCTCAAACCGCAGAGTCACAGCCAATGTCTTTTGCAGTACCAAAAAATCATCAGTGCAGATACTTTCTTTGGCTCCGATGATGTGTGTACTATGGACCCCTTTGTTGGATTTGGTGCTGACATGGGTTTTGGCACCCTCGTTTGCGCCAGTGCCGGCTAAAGGTTGATGCCTCTCCTGATACCGATGGTGTTGATCACTCATTCATCCTCGGCACTGAGTTTTTCTTATTAGATGTCGGACAAGGCTGATGGTTTGTTTGCTCCATCAGGGGAGGCTTCTCTGTTCCCACCAGCTGACTCCCAGGGTTTCTAGAGATCTGGTTCAGGGACATCTTCCTCTTCCCTTTCGCCCTCAAAGCACCTCAGATCATCATTGGTACCAGGATTGACACTATTCCTGCAGCAAGAATAGGGGTCCTGGCCTAGTACCCACTGACCACCAATGCCTTACCTCTATTCCCAGTTGCCTCTTTGGAATTGTTGGGATGTATCCCAGTCTGGAAGATCCCACTCTTCGATGTAGTCCAGGGCAAGATTGCCAATTCCAGCTGCAGTCTCTGTTCCTGAGCCACTTCTATTACAGGTCATTCTTCCTGTGCTGGTCCAGACTGACCCTCTCATGCAGGAACCTGCCCCCCCTACAACAGCTTCTGTTGGCCCTGCACTACTCTTCTTCCTCTCTGGATGACTGCAATACTGAACTCTTCCTCACCAGTGCCTGAGCACTTCAAGTCATACTAGGACCTTCTCAGGCATATTATCTTACACCTTGGGATCCAGGCCAAGTGTACATATAAGAGAACACATAAGTTGCAGGTATCCTCCAGTCCTCGGCTCCAGGGAGAGTTGATCTCCCAATAAATGAAACCCTTTTGCAGCTTGCTAGGTCCCTTTGGATTACCCCAGCTTCATTACCTTCTACAGCTAAGTGGTATGTACCCATGCAGTGCTTTGAGTGTTTTTACTCTCATCCAGCTCTTAACTCTCTTGCAGTGATGAAAGCACTAAATGACAAGTTACTACAGGAGAGATATAAGTTCACCAGTAAGGATAGGGAATCCAAGAGGCTGGTATTGATGGCGAGGGAAATTTTGTACAACTTCATCATTGCAGATGCACATTGCAAAGCAGCAGGCACTAATGTCCAAATATGACTTTGTTAATTAGGATGCTAAGTTCAAATTCACAGAGAATCTGCCAGAAACCTCCCGGTAAGAGTTTAAGGCTTTCATGGCAGAGGGCCATCTGGTGGGCCAAGACTTTATTGCAGTCGGCTCTGGATGTGGCGGACACCAGCTGTGACCATGAGGCGGGCCTGATGGTTGCAGATCTCCGGCATAGCTCTTGATGTTCAGCAGTACACAGATGACTTATCTTTTGGCAGTTATTTTTTGTTTTCAGAAAAGACTGACAAGTCCTTACGTTAATTTTAAGGACTTGTATATGACTTTGATTTCCTTGGGAGTTTATACCCCAGTCACAAAGAGGAGTCAACAGCAGCACCACTCTCAGCATTTTTTCCACCAGTCATCCTTCCCTGTGAGACCATAGGATTTTTCCAGGAAGGGTCATAGATTGCAGAGGAGGTCTTCTGGGTCTGATTTCTACTCCCAGGGGAATTCTGCAGATTTCTTTGCTTCTCCACAGAAAAATTACTTCTGACCGAGAAGCAAAGGGAATCCACAAGAGCAGTCATGCACGCCTTCTCAGCAGTGCAGGCAGGTTGGTTTGGGCACCCAGAGCAGCTGGTAGAGATGTAAATTGCTGGGGGTGGTGGAGAGAGAGAGAGAGGCTCGCTATTGCAGCATGCTTGGTGTGGATGGGTAGGGCTTTGGGGTGTTTCTGAGGAGGTAGGTGTGGGGCAGGCTCTGTCCCCTCAGAGCAGAGGGGACAGAGTAAATTGGTCCTGTTGTTCTTAGTGAATTCCCCCAGAAGTATAAAACCAGTATAAGAATTTTAAGGCTCCTTTACATTGCCAGAGTGGTGTAAAGGAGCCTTTTCATAAAGGACAGCATGACCTTATAAATGCTTATGTGCTTTAGTGATTAGAAGTGGTATAAATTTTTGGACTGAAAAAATTTCCTATCAAAATGTGCTCCATGAACTGTTTGCTACTGACCTTTTTGGAAATGGTCAGTAGCCAGTATAAATTGTGAGTTTGAATCCCTAGCCCTCACTTGCTCTTCAGTTGCCTATGATGTAACACTGAACATATGGCTACATATATTTGTTGACTAATAACTAGAAGTAAAGGGTCAATACTAGGTACATTACTATTAGAGGGGTTTGGTGATTTCCTCCAGTGCTTCCCACTCCCATTCTCCATCCATTGTATTGTAGCTTAAATAAATTACCAAAATAATTGAAATTAGATGGATCATATTGTGTTGCTTTGACAAAAAATATGCAGAATTTTGCAGAATTTTAAAATATTGTGCACAGAATTTTTAATTTTTTGGTGCAGAATTCCCTGGGAGTAAATTTCAACCAGCCAGCTCATCATCCTCCAGCATCCATTTTGACTTGCATGTCCAGGACAGTGTTCTAGTTGTGACCTCCCCTCCTCAGTTCAGAGACAAGCTGTCTTGCTTTTACAGTACTTGCAGTATGGTTGCCACAGACAAATGAGTCCTAAGCACATGATATTAGGTTATGCCCTACAATTCCTGTCGCCTCTCCCCATACCCCTTCAGGGACCCCCTCACGAGACATTGCTCTTGCAGCAGGTCCAGACTGTTCTTACACAGGGTACTACTGAGAAAATTCCCCTGCAACATCAAAGAAAGGGTTTTTCTTCCAAGTATTTCCTGATCCCCAAAGTTTGTCTATCGATCAAGGTGTCTTTCGCTGGACAAGGTTGTCTTTGTGCCTCTGGCAGTCCTAGCCTCCTTTGAGTGGTCGACAGTTCAGAGCAACGTATGCCAATGTGTTCCCTTTGCACATCTTCCACCGGCCAGAATTATAGTCACCAATGCCTCCTCAATAATTTAGGGAGCACATCTAGGTGTATTAAAAATGCAGGGCTTGTGGTTGGAACAGGAAGTTTCCCTCTCTATCAATATCCTGGAACTCCAAGCCATTTACAACGCCTGTCAAGCCTTTCTGGGTCACATCATGGCACAGTGGTTCATATACTCATTGACAATACCACTGCAGTGCGTTATGTGAACAAGCAGGGAGGCCCACTCTAACCAGATGTGTTGGGAGGCAATCAAGTTGTGGCAGTTCTGAAACAGGGAGAGCATCATTCCCATAGCAGCACACTTACCTGGGGTCCAGAATCTCTTGGCAGATCACCTAAGCAGGAATTACTCCCAGAATCACAAGTGGTCTCTAAAGTCCATTGTGCTGAAGTCCCTCTTCGTGGAATAAGGTATTCCAGCTATTGATCCGTTTGCAACGAGAGACAGCAAGACGTGCCATCAATTTTAATCTCAAGCAGGTCTCAATCCAGGCTCTTTAACCAATGCCTTCCACCTTAACTGGGGGTTGAATCTGATGTACGCCTTCCCTCTGATGCTAATCATCCCACACGTCATTCTCAAGCTGAAGTGGGATCATGCCAAACTAATCCTCATTGCTCCACCTTGGTTGAGGCAATGTAGGTTCTCTGACCTACTCGGTCTATTGGTTCAGACTCCCATCTCTCTCTCTCTTCATCCTGACCTACTACTGACTCAACATCATGGTCATGTTTTGCATCCAGCACTCAATACTCTTTATTTCATGGCATGAATGCTTGCATGGCTAGATGAGCAGAAGGAATGAAGTTTGGATGTTGTTGGACAGGTGTTGTGTAACAGTGGGAAGCTTTCTACTAGGGTGACTTATTTGGCCAAGTGTGAGCAGTTTTCAGTTTGTTGCTTGCTTGGGGAATTCAGCTGGCATACGTTCAGGACATTGTGGAGTACCTGTTACATCTTAGTCTTTTGATCTGTGTCTCAGTCCATTGAGGGTTAGCAGCGATCTTGGCATTTCATCCACCCATCAAAGGGAGGTCAGTTTTCCCAAACCCCATGGTGTTGAGATGTCTAATGGGAGTCATTTGTCTCCAACTGTCTGTGAAAGAGCCACTTCCCTTGTGGAACCTTAATACTGCCCTGACTGCCATCATGGGTCCTGTGTTCAAGCCCCTGGCAACCTATTCTCTGTCCTTCCTGTGTCAGAAGACATCCTTTCTTGTGGCTATTACATTTGCAAGGAGAGTATGGGAGGTCTTACTGGCAGACTCTCCAACATACAGGTTTTCAAGGACAAAGTGGCTTTACATACGCACCCAAAATTTTTCTTAAAAATGGTTTTACAATTTAATCAAATTATTTACTTACCGGTGTCCTTTCCTAAACTGCACTCCAGCGCAGATGAACAGCGATTTCACATGTTGGATTTGAGACCACGCTTGATTTTCTATCTACACAGAACTCAGCCTTTTCAGTCATCGCCTCGTCTGATTTTCTCCTACGCAGATAGATTGAGGGGTCAAATGGTCTCTGTGCAAACGATTTCCAGATTGATAACTTTCTATATTACATCAGCATATGAAGTAGTTCAAGCGATGCTTCCACGGAGGTTGCGGGCTCATTCGACAAGGGCCCAAGCAATGTTGATAGCATTCCTCAGTGATGTTTTGGTATTTGACATTTGCAGGACTGCTACCTGGCCTTCTGTACATACTTTTACTAGGCACTGTATAATTACTACTGTGTCTAGGTCAGATGCAAACTTTGGGAAGGCAGTCCTGCAGTCATTGTTTAAGTAGACTCTGAGCTTGTGAGTCACCTAAATGGAATACATGTCTGCAAATTTACTTGAAGAAAAGACGGTTACTTACCTGTATTGTAACTCTTGTTCTTCGAGATATAGGTGCAGATGTGTAATCCATGACCCACCCTCCATCCCGTCTGCATCAAAATCTCTACTCTTGACATTTAGTGTGAAGGAACTGAGGGGGGTTGGGATGGTGCTGTCCTTAAATAGCCTGGGGAAGAACAAGAGCCATAGGATGAAAGCACTAACCCTACAGGTACTACTGGGCAAAGTTCTCCAGTTTCGGAGTGCTGGGGGCGCACACACCTAAGTGGAATACATGTCTGCGTCCACATCTCGAAGAACAATAGTTACAGTACAGGTAAGTAACCATCTTTTGCAAATTGTGAATCTTTACTCCAGTAAACGAGATATTTGTTTCCATGCCAACAGTTTGTAAGAGCGTGTACTTAGAAAAGTAGTAATAATGAGTCTATTTTCATCATTTCAGTGCATAGATTATTTTTCTGTTTAATTCCCTGTACACTGAAGTCCCAATCCTGCAAGTGCTTAACTTGACTCAGTGTGACTGGTCTTGTTGACTAATGGGTCAACTCACAGTGCATAAAGTTAAGCACATATGTAAGTCTTTGGGGCTAAGGTTGAGACTAGTTGAAGGGTTGTTTTGTTTTGTTTTTGTTTTGCTTGGGAAAGGGGGGTGGATTGGTGGCCATTCATTGGTGTGTGCATAATTTTCTATATTTTATTGTATTTTAGTTTGAAATGGGTGTTGACAGAATAGGCTGGCCATCAATAGATATTTAAGTCTGAAGGAATAAATAAAATACGCAAATAGATGTAGTAGACACATTTGTTTATATATCAACCCTCTCAGGCCATATATGTTTAGTTTATCAAAAAGAAGACCAAGAGATGATTTGATGATGTTGTGTATGTACCTTCCAAGGATAAAATACCAGGTACTAAAGGGCTCTTTGATCTAGTGGAGAAAGTCATAGTAGGAATCAATGGCTGCAAGTTAAAGCCAGCCATACTCAAATTAGAAACAAGATCTAACTTTATCAATGAATGATTAACCATTGGAACAAGTTAGCAAAAGAAGTGGTGGACAGGATGCTTTCAGAAAGGTGCTTTAATCAAACAATCCAGGTGTAACTGGATGAAATTCTATGATTTGTGTTATATAAGAGTATTATACTATATCAGTGGTTCTCAACCCACAGGCCGTTTGCCACACAATGAGCACACAGCTACACCGCATGTGACATCCTCAGGTCCATACAGGTAGTATATATATTGTGTGGATGCGGCCCCCATAACACACAGAGCTGCATATCTGGTGCACAGTGGTAAATCAATTGAGAACCACTGGACTAGATTTGATGGTCTTTTCTAGCCTTAAATTATTAATGTATGACTATCAATATTATATCGAGATTCCTTCAAAATGTTTATATTCTAAAATACTGCTGAAGATGAAAACTTTTAACAATCCTGCCACTTACTTGATATACAATGTAATTTAAATGAGTAGTTTGGCTAGTTACCAGAGACTTACATAATGCCTTAATTTGATATAATAGGGATTTATACTGAGAAAAATAACTCCTTTCTCTACTACTTACATCACCAGGTACCTGATGGTTTTTTTGCACACTTCTATTCCATTTGTGAGCATGTGAGTCCTGTTTTGGCATGGGGCTTTTTGGGACCTAGAAACTCTCTTTATGATCTATGCTGCTTCTTTAAGGTATGCATCCTTTTTGTAACGATCATTTATCTAACATAAAAAAGCACTAATCAGATGGGAGGATATTACTTAAAGGGACACCATTAAGATAAAAATAATGTATATAAAAAATCTTTGCTAGTCAATATTCATCCTGATTATAATGTATCCCAGTTGCCACAAATAACAGGGATTAATTGTCCCCTACTAGAAAAACAATCCCTACCTATGTTGTTAATTATACTGTAAGTCAGGGGTGGGGAACCTTTTTTCTATCAGGGGCCATTGACCCACCGAAAAAAATCAGTCACGGGCCGCATGCAGCACCATGGGGCGAGGGAGGGGTGTGCAGTGGCTCGGGGCTTCACCTAGGCTCTGGGGTGGGGCCAGAAATGAGGGGTTCAGGGTGCAGGAGGAGGCTCGGGGCAGGAGGTTGGGGTGCGGGAGGGGGTGCAGGCTCTGGGATGTGGCTGGGGATGAGGAGGTTGGGGTGCAGGAGCGGGTTCCGACCTGGGGCAGGGGGTTAGGGTGGGGGTGCAGGCTCAGTCGCAGGCCACACACAACCCCATGGGGTGGGAGGGAGGGGGAGGCACCAAGGCTCAGGGCTTCTGGCCCACGGTGCAGAGACTTGCCACAAACCAGATTAAATTAAGCAGCAGGCTGGAGGTTCCCCACCCCTGCTGTAAGTTATTAACACACTAAGAATTGTCAGAACATAGGACCCCCAGTCTTGAAAACACTTAGGAGTCTGTGTAACACTTTGTACATGAGAATCCAACTGAAGTCATGAGACTACTAGTATACATAAGTGTTTGCTTGCAACATTAGGGCTATAATTTGCAATTCACTATTTATGGTGTTGCTCTAATTTTTTATTTCATTTTGTGTGAACAGTGAACCTAGATTGGTCAGTTTTACTTATTTATAGTCCGTTCCCTTTCTTGTTCTTCCATGCACTATCGAAGTGCTGTTGTAAGCTTTCTTGTTTATTTCCAACACTGCAGCTCAGCAAAACGTCTTAAGAAAAATATTAATCCTGAACATTTCTATTAATCTTAGGTTGGTTTTGGAGCCTAAACCTACCTGACAGTGTCTATTTGTAATGGTTTTTTTTAAAACAGTCAAGAGAGTTAGTAACTGAATGTTGGGAGTTAAACACAGTAAGAAATTTCCCAATAAATTTGTGTGCATATTTTATGTATGCTTTGGAGAGATTATGTATAAATGAGGAAAAATATATAACATTGTTTAATTAATATTTAACAAAACTCTATACATTGCTATAAGTAAATACAGGTTTTTCTTTTTTATCCACTAGGATCAAGTTCTTTACTTCCTCAAAGACATTTTTGACTTTGAAAAGGTGCGATATTCAACTATGGAGAGTTTAGCTGAAGATCTTATGCAATTGCTAATGCGTCGCACTGAACTTTTAATGGCCTACCTTGGAGCTGATTCACTAAGGCATGTCAGTGGTTGCATAAGTGGTCGTGGACACATCACGGCCAATGGGCTTTTGGAAGAGAAAGTACAATAAGCTTAAAAAAATCTAAATTGAGTGTACCTTGCCTTTTCCCCCTCCTCCAGTGCTGTCATTACTGTTTTTGAGCAAACATCTGAAAATATAACTGTGTTGCTAAATATGGAATGGACTCAGGGAGATTAAAAAAAAAATTAGGAAAAGAACTGGTGAGCATATTACAGTATATATACCTAAATTAAAAATCACAGCTCAGCTGTCTCTGTATTTATATATAATGTACCCCAAAGTTTTTTCTGCAATATTTGGGTAAAATGTATTTATGAAATACTGTACACTTGCCACAGATATTATGTAGTATGTGGTATATGGAGTTATTAGATGAATTTGTCTTTAAGCCTTATTATATGAAATGTTCAGTACAAACTCTGCAATGTGCTTTATGTCTAGAAAGTGTTTCAGCCAAGGTATACACATCTTTCAACTTATGTGATACACCTGCCAAAAAAAATCCAAAATAAACAAACAAACAAAACTTGACAAAATATTTAACTACACCCTATACTTGTGTTTGTGTAGGTAAGCAGTCATTTTGTATTGAAACATAATGGAGTAATGTAGTAAATGCAGTCACAATTTGGGCAGGTGAAACTAACATGAAAAACTCAATGCTAATTGGTGTTGGCTTAAAATATGTAAATACATCATCACTGAGGTTGATGTTTGAAATCACGAGTGAGATCACTGTTTGGTATATTCTAAAAGTAATGACAGTTTTTTCGGGTTAATTAATTGGTTTAAAACTCATCTTTCTAAGTTTTTAAAACTATGCTGTGATTATGAATAAACTAGTATCATTCTTGGTTCAAATGTAGCATTTTAACTATATTTTAAAGTAAGGATGTATAATAAAACCTAAAGACATGTTGTTTCTCAATTAAATCAGTCTCAGTCATTTCTTTCAAAAAGCCAGCCTTCGGTTGGGGAGAGGACTTTATATATGAGTTTTGGTAAGTGTGTCTTTCAGTACACACAACTGGTGCTCAGTTCAGGGAATCTTTTGTGTAGTCTTGTCTTGAATTTCAGAATAAAAAGTTTGAGGAAAAACTTTTTCATGGGTATCCCTTTTAGAGAAGCCACAAAGACCCTTTTTATGGTACTTTATAAAAATAGAGTATTTCAGCATCTGAGTGATACACATAATAGAATAAATGTTTAGCTTTTAAAATAACATTTTAGATTACAGTTACAGTTCCAGGTTCTGATACTTAAGGCTTCAAGGCTGAAAGTCTTAAGTTTAATGTTGCATTATAGGCCAAAAACAAAAGTAAGAGTTGAGTAAGATTTTTTTTATTTGTGTTAATGTGCCCTTCCACAATCCAATTTATAAAGGAAAACAGATTAAAACATTTTATTTTTATATATATAAAAATATGGAATAACCTGTAGCATCTTAATGTGCTGCCACCAGCATTTATGACTTCTTGACAGTAGTTGCTAATGCAGACTGTAAGCAGTATTGTCACCATATGCTAGATTGCAAGTGGTTTAGTAGCTACTGTCTTTACTCTGCACTTTCTGGCCCAGATCCTTAGATGTGGACAAAATGTGCTTTGTGCTCTCTTGGTCTCATAGCATAAATTAGAGCAGCTTTCAGATTGCTATAACTTGTGCTGGCTGCCAACTGCCATGTGGTCCAGTACAGTAGCTGGGGATCACCAGGGTGCAGAGAGCTTGTAGCCAAGTCCCTTTTCCCTGGCCACGTTCCCTACACTAGCGGTCAGGAGTAAAGATGGTGCAGGATCCTGTATGTCAACCTGAAGTGATCTTTCCATGGCTGGCCTCACTGGCTTTCATGCTGCTTTTGAATTGCTTTTGCACCAGAAGTGTGACATAAAGCAGCCACAACATTGGGAGAAATGTCCCTCCATATATAATAAACTTGATATGGGATAATTACAAATAACTCTGCAGCTTTGTAGCTAAAAGTTTCTAGTTTCGAAATATGTAAACAAATTGGAATTGTATTTCATTAAATATATTTCTGCTTCTCTTGCAGAAACCAATCCCAAAAAAATGTAAAATCATGGATAAACATTCTGAATACAAGAAAGGTGGTGATGTTACTTGTGAATCTGTGTGAAATGTCAACTGAAATATTGTTAAAATCAGAATAATAATTGATGTGTATGTGTAATACAGATACCAAAAACTGTTGCTGATGCATGACCTGGCATCTCATCTCACTATATGTATTTTCTCCAAAGAGTATTTTCAGATAGAGTGTGGAATCTTTTTCACCTTTCCTGTTCAGTTCAAAAGAAAGATACTCATTTCCCTTGGGGCACAGTTCCAGAAATTCACATTTTAACAATTTATTGTGATGTATAAAACTGAAGTATACTGAATAATGAGATATTTAATTAAGAATCAAACTGGGAATGGAAGTACTAAGGAAACAGCATGCTCTATCCAGCAACCTCACCAGCTGAGATGATGTCAAAGGAAGCCCTGTCCATTCTCCTCCCTCCATTCTACATAAGATGTTTAGAACACTGCCACCTAACGCTGCTCATGAGGATGTGGAAATTTAATTTTTACAAAACCAAAGTTCAATAGAAATGTCTTCTTTTACATTCTAGTGGGCCCAGTTTTTCCCACCCTGCTAACAAATGTGCCCCTATTGGTAGGTGCAACCCATTCTGCTTGTGCATAATATAAATGTAGAATTGACTGGAACCTGAATAGTCTATTTTATATCCAAAATGAGAACTGCAGTTTGTATTTAAAAAATGCTAAATAGAGAAAAATTAATGAAACAGTTATTGTTAATGTGCAGTGTTGTAGCCATGTGGGCCCCAGGATATGAGAGAGACAAGATTGGTGAGATGAGACAAGCTTTCGAGCAACAGAGAGCTGAAGAAGAGCTCCGTGGTGCTCCAGAGTTTGTCTCTTTAACCAGCAGAAGTTTGTCCAATAAAAGATATTACTGCACCCACCTTGTCTCTCAATTATTTTTAAGTCTAAAGTGGTGTACAACAGGGGTTCTCAAGCTTCATTGCACCATGACCCCCTTCTGACAACAAAAATTACTACACAACCCTGGGAGGGGGGGAACAAATCCGGGGGGGGGGAGGCAAAGCCAAAACCCAAGCCCCACACCCTGGGCAGGGGGGGAGGGGGTCAAAGCCCAAGGGCTTCAGCCCAATGCAGGGGGCCTGTAACCTGACCCCTGCCATCCAGAGCTGAAGTCTTCAGACTTCTGCTTTGGCCCTGGGTGGCTGGGCTTCGGCCCTGGGCCCCAGCAAGTCTTAACACCAGCCCTGGCAACCCCATTAAAAAGGGGTCGTGACCCACTTTGGGGTCCTGACCTACTGTTTGAGAACCACTGGTGTAGAACATAGATGATAATTCAATATATTAATTTTTAATCCTTTTAAACCTGTAGAAGCTGGTGGTAGTCAGCATCGCACAGAATTAGGATTAGGCTCTAAATCAGGTTCACGTGTTTCCTGTTCTGATGTAGTCACTATCTTGCTTTTCAGCAAAATGGTCACCACTGTGTGCTTCAGATAGTATGTAGCAAGTAGTACTTATCATGTGAACTTCCAATAAACTGCTGATGAAAATGGATACAGATTTGGAGAGAAGGAGTCAGTGTTCATGGATGCAGTTATTTGGACTGTAATTTTTTTCTTTCTAGTTCATCCTACAGCTGGCTGCTTCTGTCACAGAAATTAATTCCTTTGCATGGTTGCCTAGAAGAAAGTACATAAAGAAGATCTGTTGCTAACCAGCTACATATATCTGAAGTGCTTTCTACCTATGCCTGCTATCCTGGGAAGCAGGAATGCCAAAGTTACACTTCAGTATTTATGGTACGTCTCCTACTGCACTACAGTGGTTTATATGTAGTGTTTCATAATGAAATATCAGAACTGAATTTATTTGTTCAAACATGCTACTTTTGAATGCAAATTTTGATGCTAGTTGGAGCAAGTTACATGCAAAAGCCATACGGTACTGCTAAGGTCAGTCAGAAACATTAAATGATACAAGGATTAAGATAAGTTTCAGAGTAGCAGCCCTGTTAGTCTGTATTCGCAAAAAGAAAAGGAGGACTTGTGGCACCTTAGAGACTAACCAATTTATTTGAGCATAAGCTTTCGTGAGCTGCAGCTCACTTCATCGGATGCATTCAGTGGAAAATACAGTGAGGAGACTTATAAACACACCACATGAAAAAATTGGTGTTATCATACACACTTGTAAAGAGTGATCACTTAAGATGAGCTATTACCAGCAGGAGAGCAGGGGGGAAATAAACACGGGGAAACAGTTTTACTTTGTGTAATGACCATCCAGTCCCTATTCAAGCCTAAGTTAATTGTATCCAGTTTGCAAATTAATTCCAATTCAGCAGTGTCTCGTTGGAGTCTGTTTTTGAAGTCTTTTTGTTGTAAAGTCGCAATATTACAACAAGAAGTCTTCAAAAATAGACTCCAACGAGAGACTGCTGAATTGGAATTAATTTGCAAACTGGATACAATTAACTTAGGCTTGAATAGGGACTGGATGGGTCATTACACAAAGTAAAACTGTTTCCCAGTGTTTATTTCCCCCCACCCCACCCCCACTGTTCCTCAGACGTTCTTGTTAACTGCTGGAAATGGTCCACCTTGATTATCACTACAAAAGGGTTTCTCCCTCCTCTTCCCCCCCCCTCTCCCCCCGCTCCTGCTGGTAATAGCTCATCTTAAGTGATCACTTTCCTTACAGTGTGTATGATAACACCCATTTTTTTTCATGTTCTGTGTGTATATGAATCTCCTCACTGTATTTTCCACTGAATGCATCCGATGAAGTGAGCTGTAGCTCACGAAAGCTTATGCTCAAATAAATTGGTGAGTCTCTAAGGTGCCACAAGTACTCCTTTTCTTTTTAAGGATTAAGATATTTATATTAGCTGTGATTTAGTTGTAATCTCACTTTTAATATGTTAATGATTATTGTACTTCACTTATGTAGTCTGTTTTTTACCAAACTAAATATGTATCAACTGAAGTTGGCTAAGGGTAAGCATACTGGTGAACTGTCTACTGCCTAAATGAAACGTGTATATCGAGTATAACAATTCAATGAAAATACTATAGAAGAAAAATAATTCTCATTTTGAGTTGTACAATGAATTTCCATATATAAAGCAAAAAATTACTATATATTTGTTCTAATGCTCATTCATTATATGTAGTTGGACCAGCTTGATGCATATCTACTCCAGTACTTCCTTACATGTCTAAATTTTAATTAGGTTTTCCTATAACGTGCGTGTGTACTTTAATATACCAATATTTTATTTGCAGCCACCTTTGGCACCAATGAAACTTGTAGGTATTGGGGTTTTCTTCTCAAACTCTTTTTAATTTAAATAATTAAAAGAAAAAGCAGGGGGGCAGAAACTATTAGAACATGTTTCATTTAGGTGCATTAATTTAAACTGATAGTATGGCCCTTTTTTGTTTAATTCTACACATTAAACAATCCCCAAGCATGATTTTTGGCATGGTAAGATGATGATCTAGCAAAAGTCTAACAGAAAATTGGTGTCGTTTAGTCCTGTAGTTTAAAAGTTATTACTCCTTTCTTCTATCAACCAAAACATAGGTGAAGAAAAGATATAGACCTAGAGTGTCAAACGTATAGCCTGGAGGTAGGATCTAGACCATGTCATGAGTGTAAGTGGCATGACAGACCCATAGAGACCCTGCTCATAGACCTTGGAGTGTCTGATGGGGCTTAATCCCCACCAGTTGAAAGGCAAGAGAAAGAACCCCAATTAGTCATGCTTTGCATCTGGGGGGTAATTAATAGCTCTGCCACCTTAGGCCAGGAGGTAAGAGGAAGCTCAGTTGGTGAGTACCTGCAGAGGAGACAGATCTCTCTGGCAAAGAGAAGTCCTGGGCTAGGGTTTAATAGCTAGGAAACAATGGAGGAAGAACATTATAGGAGCAGGTTAGGTTCCTGCAGTGGAAGCCCTGAGGTAAAGTCAATAAGGGAACTACAATGAAGCTTCAAAGGGGTAGCAGGATATTAGTTTGAAGACTTCTTTTGATTTTTATTTGGACTTGTTTGTGGTAGCCTGGAAGAGGTTTAGACGTTTATGTGACATGGCTGGAGAACCAAATCACTGAACATCCAGAGGGGATTTGGGGGGTGAAGCAGGTTGTGATAGGCCACTGCAGGTCAAAGGAAGAGCCCAGTAGGGGAGCATTAGAGACAAGGCCACTTCAATCAAAAATGAGATGGCTCCTATGAGGTGAGAGTGCAAGCCAATATCACAATATCTGTCAGAGTCTGAAACAGTGACTATGAAGTGTGAATGTTCCTGTCCTCTTTTAATTTTATTGGTGTGTCAACTCTAATAGCTAATGGGAAAAGGGATGGAAGTGAAGCCTTCAAGGGATGAGAATTGCAAGTTGCTGCAGGGAAAGAAAGCCAAAGGACAGTACAGAGAATGCATGCAAAGAAAGAGAACAGAAACAGGAGGCCTAAAGGAGAGTGGGTTTTCTCACTGAATAATGACAGCACATGAATAAGTTATAAATAAAAGTGTAGTTACTACATAAACTATATTTTTCCCTTAGACAAACCTCCCCTGCAGCAGTGTCTAGATTGAGTAGTCTATGAAGTTATGAATTTATATCCTGGACCATAACTTGATATGGAATCCAGTGATCTCCTCTAAATTAGACACCCCTCCTGCGCTAAGTCGTCATATTTGTTATTAGAAAGGAGGAGCAAAGATAATATCTATCATTCACATGCACTAGTATTTTTAAGGTTTTCAGTTTCCATAGTAATGGGTACATTATAAATGGCTTTGTAGGGCAAAAAGCATTATTTTAACAACCTAAATAGATGGTACTTTCCCATCTAAGTCTTGTAGCCACAAAGTCACAAGACATTTTATTTTAACTCTGTCTTTCAAATTGCTCATTGCTATCTAAAAAGAAGTCTAAATTAAATCATCCCATCTTGGTTTTAACCGAAAGGTTTATTTCAGAGATACTGGTTCATCCACTGGAGTGAGGAAAGGATGAGGAATTCTTGTGTCCTCACTCTCTTTTTTTTTTTTTTAATCTCCATAGAATACAAGGCCAGAAGGGACCATTGTGATCATTTAGTCTGACCTCTTATATAGCACAAGCTATGGAACTTCCCCATAATAATTCCTAGACCAGATCTTCCAGAAAAACATCTGATCTTCATTTAAAATTGTGAGTGATGGAGAATCTACCACAACCCTAGCTAAATTGTTCCAACAGTTAATTACTTTCAGTGTTAAAAAATATGCCTTGTTTCCAGTCCAATGTTCAGACTGCCAGCTGCAATATCATGTATTATTCTAAGGCGTATGCAACCAAGTCTAAGGCACTCTGCTAAGCACAGTACAACAAATGTAACTAGGAGACAGTCCTTCTTGCCTAAGAGACCTTATAATCTAAGGAAGGAAGAACTCTATAGGTGAGTTTAAAGGGGGAGGGGAGGAGAGTATATTTAAAATTCAAGTTTTAAAGTTATATTTGTGCATCAAGCACAGAAAAGTTCTTAATTTCCAGGGGAAGGAAGATAGGCACCATCTGTTCCCTAAATGGCTGTTTCAGAATAATTTATACACTCTTCATTAGGTAGCTAACTTAGTTCCATAGTCCTGGTACTGTCTAGACTCTTCCCCACTCCACCACCCTGAACTTTGTCACCTACTATTATTAGCTGGCTGCTTTCATGGGCTTGATGCTATAAAATGCCCCAGGGCTTTAGGGTCTGAGGCCCAGATCACAGTTACTCACAAAGCATGAGCCAGTGCATTATCTCCGCATGCTGTGGTGCAGAACTTTGTGTGGGAAGAGGCCCCTTGAAAGGCTTGTGAGCCGTAAGTATTTTCTGACTGCTTAGAAAACACTTGGTAAGGCAACTCCCATCTTTTCATGTATTTATACCTGCTCCTGTATCTTCTACTCCCTGCATCTGATTAAATGGGTTCTAGCCCAGGAAAGCTTATGCCCAAATAAATGTGTTAGTCTCTAAGGTGCCACAAGGATTCCTCCTTGTTTTTGCAAAAAGAAAAGGAGTACTTGTGGCACCTTAGAGATTAACCAATTTATTTGAGCATAAGCTTTGGTGAGCTACAACATCTGATCTCACTTCATTAAGATGCATCCGATGAAGTGAGCTGTAGCTCATGAAAGCTTATGCTCAAATAAATTGGTTAGTCTCTAAGGTGCCACAAGTACTCCTTTTCTTTTTGTGAACACAGACTAACACGGTTGTTACTCTGAAACCTGTTCGTTGTTTTTGCTGATACAGACAAACAGGCTACCACTCTGAAACTAGGTGATAGGCGCCTTACAAATATCCCAGGCGCACCAGGTATGTACCTGCCAGGTCTCACCTCTGCCCAGCATGGCAGGTGCCACTCGGCCATGGCAAGGTCTGTTTCGCTGCCCTGGTCCCCTGCCTGTCTCACCTGCCAGGCTTCTTTGGGTCCCCTTCCCCTCCTGTCAAGTAATCCCGGCGGGAGGCCGCCTGCGCGGGGCCCGGCCCCGGGAACGCTTTGCTCCCCAGAGCCCCAGGTTATTTATAGCCTGTGGTGCTTCCAGCTCAAAATAACCCAGCCGCCGCGGCCGGGGGCTTGGCTCTGCCCCAGGCGCGCTGAGTCGGCCTGTGCCGGCGGGGAGGGGGCCGCGGCGGGCCCTGCCTGCCTGCGTCGGGACAGCTGCAGCCGGGCCGGGGCGCGCCTGGAATGCGGGCGAGGGCTGCGCACCAGGACTTTTATGGAAACTTGCAGAGCCGGCGGCAGCCAAGGGGCGCTCAGCAGCAGCCACAGCCGCGCCGCCGCCGCCGCTCCCCAGCCAGCCAGCTCGCCCGCCCACCCGCGAGCCGCCGGGATTAGCGTGAGCCGGAGCCGCGGGCAGGACCCCCAGGTAAGACGCTCCGCAGGGCATAAAACTTCTCCGGAAAACTTCAGTGGGGCCGGCGCGGCTCCCGCTCCGCGCAGCCAGGGCACCGCAACCCTTGCTCCCTGCCCGGGCCGTGCCGAGCCCGACCCCTCTCCGCCCTGTGCCCTGCTCCTCTGCCCTGTCCTGCGGCTCCCCCTTCTCCTCTCCGCCGCGGAGCCCGGCCCCGCTTCTCCCAGTCCCCTGCCCGCCTCCGCTGGGCCGTTCCCAGAAGCCTGGCTGCCCTGGGGCTCCTCTTTCCCCTCTCCCGGGGCTCCCCCTGTCGCCCCCCTGGCGTCGCCGTTCCCAATCCCTGGCAGAGCGTCATCGATATTAAGGCCAGAAGGCGGCACCCCGTCGTCCAGCCTGACTCCTGCGTATCGCAGGCCACCCCCAGCGCCCGCACCCTAAACGCAACACCTGAAATGCGACCCAAGTATTACGCAGCCCGGGAGCGGGAGACTAGGTCCTTGCAGCCGCAGGCTCCCGTAGTGGCAGGGAAGTGAGCAAATGAGGCGCCTGTTTCGTTGCGGTTCAGAGGGACACCGGTGATTTGTGTCATCTCGCGGGGGCAGCCCCCACAACTTGCCCCTCTCAGGCTTTGAAGCCGTTTCAGCCGCCCAGCAGCGCGCACACAGGGCGAGACAGCAGGAGGGCTGTGTCAGACACAACAGCTCAGCGTTGGGGGACGCCAGCTAGCACAGTCCAGGCCTGAGCAGTCAGTGTGACTGGACTGCGTTACCCTACAAATGAGAGGTTTCAGAGTAGCAGCCCTGTTAGTCTGTATTCGCAAAAAGAAAAGGAGGACTTGTGGCACCTTAGAGACTAACCAATTTATTTGAGCATAAGCTTTCGTGAGCTACAGCTCACTACAAATGAGCTGCGCCTGGTCTGAGGGGGAGAAGTGAAGCAAGTCTTATCCACCAGCCCATGTTTCCTCACCCACAGCAGTGCTTGGGGACCCTGCCCTTTCAGGAATTTAACCCATTCCTGGTGATTGTCTTGAGTTAACCTGTGGTTTGGGTGCCCCAGATGTCAGGCTATAGTGAAAAGGAAATCTCTTAACACTGCAACCACTTGCAGGGGTAGAACTGATGGAGACTAAGGAGATGTCCACTGGAAATAAGATGCTGAGCTAAAAATAGTGCCAGGGTTGGTTAGTGGTGACAGAGTCCCTGGGTGAGGGGGTGGAAGGGCTGTCATCAGCCTATATCCCTAAATCTAACTCAGCAAACCAGCACTGCACTCATTTGCTTATTTTTATAATTGTGGTCACTGCTGCTTGCTTCACTTTCACTAAATTTAATAAAAGGCACCTTTGGATGACATTAGTTATAGCAAAAAAATGCTTTGCTAACATGCTCCAATAAAGCACTGTTTTAGCCACATGTCCCCTTCTCTATGCTTTGTACACAGAAACAATTACTATCTATTTTACTTAACTAATTTTTTAAAAAATATCAATAAATAATGGATGTGGGGAAATAGTTGGCCAGTGAAGAATCAAGAGGGCCTACCTAGAGACAGTGATGAATGAGACAGACAGACCAAAATGGTCTTTACTCCTTAAACTGTGGCCCAGTTCAGGACAGCAGATAGTGTAACTTATTGGCCTGTAGCAAAAACTGACAAGTCTCTGGCATTTTAATGTGTTTTGTTAAATACAATATGCCAGTTTAATAAAATTGTGATCTAGACCAGTGTGAAGTGGTGGGGCATTTATAGCAAATTTTAATGTAAAATTATTACAGATATCAAATGCTGTAATGAGCTGTATTAGTATTAATTCAATAGTATTTCAAAATGTTCAGTTTATGATGTTTGTCTTTACAAAAGAAACCCAGGAAAGAAATATGAATGGAGTCAGTAATTTGAGCAGCTAACCTTTTTGCTAACATTGTTATTTTGATTGAGTTGTTTAAAAACACTTTCTCTCTCTTTGGTAGAGATGTGAGTGTGCAAGCCATTTCTTATGTCTGTCTCTCAGTAGTTTGAGTTCAATATGGATGACAAAATAAATTCCTCCTTCCCTTCCGTTCTGTTTTCATCCAAAATGTCTCTATAACTTGCTTCCAACTGGTGCAATCTCTGATGTTAGATATATTTTCAGATAAAATAAATGTAATTATAGTTTTGTCTGCTTGACTTTATTAAAAGTAATCTGAAAACGTATTTTATGAGTACATTTTACATTGCTTTCTCAAACTATCATTATCAGAATGTCATATTTTAGTTGTAATTGAATTTTATGTTTGAGAATGTATTTTGCAGATGTAATTTGTTCTGACATTTCTTTTAATGATAAGGGAGATCTGTTGCTAATTGAAAAAATATATATTTGTAAGAAATACTTCTTCTACCTTTTATCAACTGTATTCTGAAGATTTGACAATGAGTAATTATCATTTATATCCTAGAAATATACAAGTAGATGGAAATATGTATTGGGCCCATAAAGTTTAAGATAGCTGTTCTTTGAACACTTCCTGTGAGGGAATATTTTCCTCAATGGAAGAAGCCAGTATAGCCTACTGTGCTTAAACTCATCTCTAAGGATCTCCTGCTGAACAGGAGAGAATGCCATTTCCTAGCTGTTCCAGTGTCTGAAGTAAATTGGAACCTAGATGGGGAAAAAAAGATGAGTCAGACTCAGTCTAGGAAGACTGAAGTGATGGTGAGAAGCAGAAGAAAGCATTTCTAGGAAGTAGTAGGAGCTGTGACCTCAAGGTGTTACGCAGTCTCTCAGTCCTGTTGGCATCAGCTCTACTCCTGGACTATCCAACAGAAGCAGCAGCCAGAAATGCCTTTTATCTTCACTGAGCCAGGAGACTTCATCCTCTCCTGTCAAATGCAGGCATAACTACAGAGATCTATCCATTTATCACTTCCACCCTGGATTACTGCGGTGTATTCTATCTGGACAATGATCTTGGGGTCTAGATGGAAACTGTATCTAGTTCAACAAGCAGTGTCCTACTTTCCAGGAAGGGCAAACTACAGAAAGCAAATCACAACAGTACTCCACGCTCTACCCTGGATCCTTGCCTTATCTACCCTGGATCCTTATATAATTCTGCATTTCACGGTCCTAGTGTTTATCTTTAAAACATTCTATTAGCCTTCGTTAAACTGTCTCCATCATATCTGCTTCTCTATTCTGCTGCAGCATCTGTAATAATGTGGGATCTTGTAGTTTAGGGCTGAGCCCATTGCTTTCTCTCTCTCTAGCACCAGAAATTAGGATGAGTCAAAGTCTTGCTCTATAGGGTAAGTCTATTGGGGATCGATTTATCGTGTCTCGTCTAGACGTGATAAATCGATCCCCGAATCGATGCCTGTACACCACAAATAGCAAAGCTGAAGTTGCATATCTTAGTTTGAACCCCCCGCCCCTTCCAGTGTAGCCCAGGCCTTAGGCCCAGTGTAAAGTTACCCAAAGTAGGCCTTCTCCCAGTAACAGAGCAGATCCTCCCCCTCCCCCAGACATTTTTCCTGGAACATAGCCCTGAAGATTGTTCCCTACTGTCTTAAACCTGGTAGGAACAAGAAGGCCACTCTCTATCATACAGAAAAGGTTATCTTCAGTTTGGACATAGAGCTGAGATGCTATGGTAATGGTGCTTATTACACTATAAGCAAAGCATTTACAATAATCTGTTTTACCATAATAATGTCTGCTAAGATTATTCCGCTATGATACTTTAGCTGTAACATAGAGTCATGCATCTAACTTTGAGCTGTAAACTGAGCAATTTCACTTTATAAAACTGGATTTTTAAAGTTTGGGAAAAGGAGAATGAATATCATCTCTGTTCAGTGGGAGCCTTGGTTTAGTTGCTGGTTGATATTCTAGACACGCACATCAATTTCATGTAATTTTGGGGGGAAATAGTTTCTCTTATATAAAATATGCAAAAATATTAGTTGGTTTTGTAGT